GAGTGTCGGTACGTGAAAGCTGGCCATCGAGCGTGATTCGAGTCCCTCACGAACGTTGAGACTGACTTCTGTAGAGACCGCTGCTACACTGACAGTGTTCACTTGCACTTTTTACTATATATGAGATAACAGGACCATTTCATATGCAAAGTTCAAGGAGTCCAGCTGTGTCCAGAGTGTCTACTGTTTTTCTCACTTCTCGTAAGCTCTTGAGATTTTCCCCGACCGTTGTTGCTACCTTGACGTGGTGGTCGGGCTTGCCTATCGTGATGAAGCAACCGAGCTATACTGGCTGGAACAACCGTTCCTCAAGGTCCTACCATATCAGACAGGTCGGTTGAAGAGCGGTAAGACTAAAAGCAACAAACCCAAGGTCCAAAGGCGAAGTCGTACTGTTGACTGTACAGAGGTGTGACAGCAGTAAGGTGTTTCCTTCAGACAACCAGCATGACAGCGATGCTGCCTTCCCACAAGGAGGGGTGGGGTTAGAAAAGGTCGACCCTAAAAATGCGCACCTCACCTTACCTCACGGATTTCCGTCTCCGGAGGTAAGGCCCTTTGAAGAACGGAGCTAACACGTCAAAAACCTCCCATGAAAAGGCCGTGCGCGACCGGCCTCAAGCAGTTGTCCCTTGGGCACTGCGGTCACGCTCTCAGGTCACTGAGACCGCCTCTAATCCAATTTCCTTTTCAGGTACCTCCAGAAGAACCCTTCCACGGTGTGGGCAACCGGGAAGTGATAACCGCCCTCATGCCTCTAACAGCACCCAAGACCACTGTATTCATAATCAACCTTCCTCTTCTTGAGATTTTCGTAATCCAGTGAAAGACCGTCGAAGGGAGGATAGGTAGCCTTGTCTGATACCAGCCCTCATTTGGAATGCACCTGTGAGTTATCCTTTATGCACGCTGTCGCAGCTCAGTCCAACGTAGGAGTTCTGTATGATGGTGACAATCTTCCCATATACTTCATATTGCCAAGGAATATCTTATCCGTTCGGTAGAGGGGTTTCGTATAGTGAAGGAAACTGACGTGAATCGGTGAGTTCCATTCAGCTAGTTATTCAATAATGACCCGTAGTGTCTCAGTTTGGTCTGTATGCGATCTATCCTTACGTCAGACAATTTGTTGATCTTGAAGTCGGATGCCCACTGAAGCATTCTTTCGGCTTACCAACACTTTTTTGAAAACTTTACTAGTCACTGGCAGTAGCGTGTTCCCTCAGTAGTTCTCGCACTTACTAAGGTCTCCTTTCTTCGGTACGTTGGTGAAGTATCCTTCTCCAGTCTGTTAGTGCTTGTTCTCCATTCCAAATCTTTCTGGAGAGAACGTGGAGCAGGTTTGCAGTTGCCTTCACATCTGATTGAAGTGCCCCAGCTAGTATGCTGTTCAGTCCAACTATTCCTATGGCATTCCCGAATTGTCTGGTGGCTTTGAGAATTCCTTTGATTGTTGGCGGGGCTGCCTCAATGTTGGCTGTGCTCAGCGATGCCGATCAATTCGATAGGTATTCACACTACTCTACCTATCTATCTCGCTGTTGTTGATCCTCAGTGATTGGTTTGCCTTCTTTGTTCCCGACTGACTGCTCTGCTTCTCTGTATTTCCCTCCAAGCTTCTTCACCGTATCGAATAGCTTTTTCATGTTTCCTTCTCTTACGGCTTGTTTCACTGCAATTGTTAGGTCTTTATGTATATCTGCCTGTCGGTTCCGATATTCTTCACCACCCGTCTGTTTGCTTCTGTATATTCGATCTGAGAGCTACTTTCACTGCATTCATTCGGCTGTTTTTAACTGGTATTTTCTCGACCCCCCCCCTGAATCTTACCCAGTGTGTTAATAGAAATTCATTGTATGCTCTGATGCTTCTTTGGACCCATCACTTCTTAGTATGTTCAAGTCGTCACTTCTTTAATCCCTTACTAGTTGTTCTCCATGGTGATTTTATATTCTAGTAGGCTTTTTAAGTTTTGTGACTTGATACAGAGAGCTATGTTGAACTGTCTGAGCTTGGGAGCATCTCGAAAAACGTCTGTAACAAACTTGTGTAGTGGTGCTTGCTCAGGTGTCCAGTGATTCTTTAGCTTCAGTTGTGACGATTCACAAACCTCATTCAGAGTGATTTTGTCATTCACTCAAGCTTTGTAACGTTTTACATTCGTAGTCAGTGATGATGAATCATAGATCTGATGAAATGATGTGTAGTATGGTTGGGAATCCTATTCTTCTTGATATCAATATCCATAGATGTGTGATGAGGTCAACCATAGGTTATGCATTAACATGAATTAGCTCTTATTTAGTGGGAGAGTCAGAGAATTTTCATCTTTTTATGTAGTTCAATGAGCTGCGACTGTGTGGACATTAAGTTGTTGCACAGAGAAGATAAATTTATCCTCTAACATCTACATGATTTTAGCTATATACTCACTATACTACTTAATAATTATAAGTAGCTATAATTGTATCCAAGTTCATCATTGCAGTAGCAATTGTGACGAATACCAACAGTTATTATGAGAACTTCTTGTAGCATTGATTTATTTTAATCATGCCTTGGGCTAGAATCTTATTTTCTCCTTCTGAGAACGCTACAATCTAGGCCTTTGTTTACCTTCAATGAATTGTCTACTCTCCAGTGTTGGGTATCCCTTGGATTCCGTTAACTACTGGTATCCATTTCTGACTGTGAGTGCAGCTTCCTAGTTTATATTTACGCTCTATAATTCCATACTTATAGACTTATCTGGAGGAATAATTTTCCTTTTGATAGAAGAATGTTCCTCGAGTCCATTACGATTCGAAACTTGCGGGTTCTTCGTACCTTTTCTGTATATGTACAGTATTGAAGGTTTCTTAGCATTCACATGCAACTCAGGGCCGTCTTTTATACTTTATTGGCTCCATCAGAATTTACTGATATTGGTATGTTCTCGAGTGAGTGATCCTAAACAATGACTTGGACGAAAATTTAAACAAATTTCATATCCACAAGGTGCTTTAATTTCATGGATGATCCATAATGATTCGAAACTTGCGGGTTCTTCGTACCTTTTCTATATATGTGCAGTATTGAAGGTTTCTTAGCTTACAAATGCAGCTCAATTGTCAGGTTAGAATCTTTATGAATTGCTCTCCGAGCGATCTATTTGATGTAGGTTAGAATAAAGCTAATAGCTGTGTACCAACGACGACGTCAATTAAGTTTTATATAATTCATCCTTTAGTATTGTGGTCCGACGATTCATTTGTTTTTAATATTAAGTACGATCGATCCTTACAGAATTTAGTTTGTTGGTCTCGAAGTTGGGCGTCTGCGCAGTCCTTCATTGTTTAACAATACCCTGCTGAAGACTTTTCCCGGTATTGAGAAAAGAGCGATGCCTCTGTAGTTATCACACTTGCTGAGATCGCCTTTCTTTGGTATCATGATCAGGTGTCCTTCTTTCCAGTCTGTTGATACTTGTTCTTCATCTCAAATCTTGCTGAAGAGAATGTGGAGTATCTTTGCAGTTGCCGCTACGTCTGCTTTTAGTGCCTCTGCTGGGATGTTGTCCGGTCCTGCTGCTTTGCCACACTTGATTTGTCTGATGGTCATGCTGATTTCTTCAATTGTTGGTGGGCCAACATCAATTGGGAGGTCCGTGGGTGCTGCTTTAAGGTTGGGTGGGTTCTGTGGGGTTGGTCAATTCAAGGGTCCTTTGAAGTGCTCTACCCACCTGTTTCGCTGTTCTTCAATGTTGGCAATTACTTTGCCTTTCACTGGTCGCTCTGGTTTACGATAATTTCAAGCGAGCTTCTTTGTTGTATCATACAATTGTTTCATGTTTCCTTCTCTTGCAGCCTTTTCCGCCGTCATTGCTAGATCTTCCACATATTTACGTGTCGGTTCTGATGTTCCTCTTCTCTTGTTTGTTTACTTCTGTGTATTCAGCTTGTACCTTGACTTTTTCTGCTCTTGTTCGGCTGGTATTGATTGCTGCTTAAGTTCACAAAGTATCAGACGTTTAATTACTGTTGTGTGGGAATCACACATTTTCTATCCCAAGAATGATCACACTTTGTAGGTGTTTTAGACATCGTAATTAAATTTGACTCAATCGGAAAGAAATTAATCCTCATCTGTACATTGCTCTTAAAATTTATAGACTATGTAACTACTTGGGTGGCTGTTCTTTCGAAAGACGCCACATCAGGTAATTATATTATGTTCCCAGTATGGTAGATGTACTGCAGTATCCAGCAATTCTTTTGAATGAGCTTTGCGCATAAAATTCCGATTTTGCATTTTAACACCGTTATTACTCGTTTCAAAACACAATGACCATTTTTAGTTAAGAAATGACTGTGAAGATTTGACAGATTGATGTCTACCTACAAGTTGGTGTGCCCCTTGTTGGTAATAAACAATATGCATCGGTTCATTTCAATACGATTTCACAAATAAAGGATGTTATATTATCGTGAATTACTATTCCGAATATACTGGGACGAGATCCTGATTAGTTCCTATGGCCAGGTAAACGTAAGGTAACGTGTAGAAAACAATGACTTTCCCTCAACTTCCAATTGAGTTTACTTTTATGGAAACCAATAAAGTTCGGAATCGAACTATGACAATGACAGTAAGTAAACTAATGAAATAATCTTACATGTCCACTTTTTTAAGTTATTCAAGTTAGCTAAAATAAAGCAGTTATCTCCCCCATATTATCCTGATTGTAATAATAACGAACTATGAAATCCATGACCAGTTTCAAACCATACTATATGAATGCACGCAATACCGCATGGTTATCTAGACCAGAGTAAATAAAACGAGGTAGTTCAGGCATTGTTCTTGAAGTATTTTGACTAATGATCGTTTTACACTCCATGAGGTATCGAAATATCAATATAAGCATTATAGAGAAGCTAATACAATTGAAGAGAAACAGAATTTACACACCCTAATACTGAGCATTGATTTTAATGATCTGCAGTGCAAATAAAACAAACTACGAGTAAATAAATTTTATATTTTATCAAAAATATTCTATTCATAAAACTGTTGACAGGGTTGACAACTGAAGTCAGTACTGTACAAAGTCCTCTTAATTATTTCTCAGCAGAAGTAGTTTATGGTTAAAATTTACTATAGCATTAACATAATGGTATGGATTATAAAAACCACAATAATATTTCTGATGAGATTCATAATGAAAAAAATATGTAAAAGGATCAACTATTAATAGTATCACCAGTAGCCGGTACTTCGGCTAAATTCGTGCTACAGTGATCTTTGGCAGATACAGATAAATTTGAGCAATTAACAGCAGAAACTTCATTCGGTACAGTCAATCTCCATAATCCAAAGTCACTTCCAACAACAGTTTGCCACAAACGAACAGTGCCATCTTCACTACCGCTTGCATAAACGTGTCCATCAGGAGAAAATCTAACACAATGTAGAGGGCCAAAATGTCCCTTGCAGGTTTCTAGGATAAAGAAATAAAACATAAACTAACTAGATAAACGTTAGAGCTGGATTGTAAAGTAGACGATTTAGAACACTGAATGACTTAGATTTATTTGACTCGAATATATACTGATAGGAAGAAAGTTGCACAAACCATAAAATGCTTTTTCTTATGACACGATCTGAAAAATTATTTTACCACAAAACTGTTATATAATGTCACCATATTTCTTGAAAAATGACTCTGAATTTTAAAGGGAAAGTAACAGCCATACGGCTTTCAAAAGCATGTATATTACACCTTGAAAACCACTTTTTGTCTAGTAGACAATGTAAAATATGGATATCATTTGTATCTAGATCATTAATCAACAACTCAAAAATTAGACTCATTTGGATGTAGAATCAAAGCTGATTAATCAGCAAGTCTCTATTTCATGACACCTTCACCTAAGAGGTAACGATAATTGTCTTTTGATCTGCCAGTCAGCTACAACGTAGGACCAGGCACATATATGCATCGGTCCAAGTTGCCACATCTTATTAGCATAAGATGAAGATCAAATTCATAGTAGTTACTTCAATGGTAGTAATATACAAAAGAAAAATAGTGTATAAAGATATAATACAGGAATAATGAATTAGTTCGTAGAGAGAAAGATATAAAGCAATTTTAATCTTGCGGTTTAAGGGAATACAAAGATTGTATACACCTACACCACTGTGATCGATTCTGAACCATGTCACCCAGAGTCTCCAATGTTACGATAGTCATGTGGACCCTAACCAAGTAATCTGCATCTACCAACATGGCTAAGACTAGAGGTTAGTGACTTTAAGGACTGATGCCACGTTTTGATTTGGCCGTCCATAACTTTCTTCCAACCTGACATGATAGGAAGAAAAAAAAATCAATTTTCGATTGATTTATTCATTATGAGTCTTATTCAACATTACATCCATTCTAATTCAATGTGATGATCATTCACGGCAGTATTTGTTTTCTTTTGTCGTATGATATTTTCTATATAATATACGATATTCTTGTATTAAATTGACATGAACTATGCTCAGTATGTGATTTGTTATAACTAAGTATTTTTCATACATGTGATTTTATTCTAATTATTAATCAAAAATGGGTGTAAAATCAATATATAAACCAGTGTATTTTAGACTATTTTGATCATCGTTCGTCGTCGTGTTTTGGGGCTAATAAATCATCACTTATACCAGTTTTGTGTTCTTACTTCGCATCGTGGGAATTGCAGGGACCCCTCGTTCCGAGTATAAGTGATCAGCGTTTTTCTGGCACAACAATTGGCGGCGACGGGGTAAACCAATTACAATCCAAAGTCAGCCTTCAGCATCCAAATTTGTCATCAGTGTCCTTCAACGACATTGGTCATTAATCACAGTAATTATCATTACCGGTGTTGATTCAGATAATGACTCTCCCTTCCGATCGATTACAGCTACTATTTGGACGACAGTTGGAGTTTTTAGTCAAATTACGCACGCAGTTGTTAAGTCACTCGCGCTTTGGAGATGCGACGGAAGTGGATGGACTGATTTCTCAACTGCACACAGAGCTAGAAAATGATTGCAGCCCCAATGAATCCTCGATAAACCGTATTTCAAACGGTACAACAGTCACTCAAGATCCGCCCGGTGGTCCAGTACTCTCCATTCCAGAAACATGCCCGGTAATGGACTCAAACTCCATTATTCCCGAAACAGCATGTGCAGACAGTGACTAATCCAGCGTACAAACAGACGCCCTGTCGAATTTTCATGGAATTGTCTCAATAACCGACCATGAAACACAAAAACCGAGCAGTACACTGAATGCAGCTGCTCCAAATGGGTCTCATCATTCTGCGACAGAAGTTTCTGATGGATCTTATTATTGAGATTCTCTTTTACCAGAAAATATGTCAGATGCATCGAAAGATGGTCAGAAACCTAATACAATTTCTATAGATGCTGATTACTATAATGATCCATTATCTACAAATGAGGCTCCTAATAAAATTGGTATCTCAGAAGATTCAAACTCTGATGACTTCGAACCAAGTGGCGTTTATCCTTACTATCTGGTCAATTTTACTTGGTTCTCTGTTCAATATGTTTTAAATACAACCAGTCGTCGTGTTTTGGGGCAAACAAATCTTCACTTATACCAGTCTTTCTGTTCTTACTTCGCATCGTGAGAATTACAGGGGTCCCCCGTTCCTAGTATAAGTGATCAGCGTTTTTCTGGTACAACACAACCATCCCCAATACTAGTCAGCATTGGTTTTTGATGTAAGCCATATGATTATTAAGCGTTTCAATTACAAACTGTTGTAGTAGTTCATCATGTAAAAGTATCTCTTACATTCATTTGGGAATTTCTCAAGCGAACCAAATTTTACTTTAAATTGATATGGATGGTCACATAGCCCGAATAACTTGCGAAACCTATTATTTTGAATGTAAATGAGTTATATTTTATAGGCTTACTAAACTGCTCAATACTTATTATGTTGTCGACGTTTAAATACGCTAATTAATTGTTCAGTTTTGATAAACATTGAAAATACACTTATACGCTTGTCTTCCATGGGCGGATCTAACAATTTTTTTTAGCTAGATTCGTTCATCGTTTATGGTAGTCAAAGTTATAAAAACTCATTTAATTCATCAGATCACAACGCTGTACCATAAAATACTCAGAAATAATTTAATATAGTAAAGCATCCCAGAATATTACCTAATATTTCACCAGTTTCCGAATTTAATCGATATATTATGTGATCATCTCCACCACATACAAGTAATTTTTCAGTGGGATGCAAGCTGACAGAATTTACTGGACACGATAGACTGAATTTTGGGAAAGCTTCAGGTGCTTCTATCATGTTGCTATAACGCCAGTCAAACGTATAAGTCTGGATTGAGTTTCCACATGCTACCACAGCTTTCACTTGATCTTCATTATAAGGGATATGGAATTGAATATCGTTGACTGGGTCTGATAATTCCTTGGACCATATCTGATGAACTGCAGCTGGCTTCGGAATATCTCGGAGATCCCACAAGCTATATGCATGAGAATATGTTAAACCGTTAATATTCTGCACAGAATGTGATAATAAAATCAACACACAAGGAATACGGGAAATGACTACTAAGAAGAGATCAAATTTGTCATGACCGGTGATATTTTAAATTCGTAGACTGATAATTACGACGTATTGACTCATGTGAAGGCATATAAGTACACTACTTATTTGCTGCTGAATTTTTGTGACGCAATGGTGATTGCTTGCGGCTTCGCGAAACACCTCGCTCATAAGCATTAAATTTAAATAAGCTCCTTACAATTCGTTGATGCACATCGGTCTACTTCGGCTAACCGCGAAATAGACTTACGTAGTAAAATTGTGTAAAATTTACGTGAGAACCGAAAAGCCTGATGGTTGGAGCGTGCTAACGAGTTGGAGGCAGCAGCTATATCCGACAACACGACGCTCTTTCAATTCATTCGAGCCACTGAAAAAATCTGGTGTGAGTGAACAACCTGTTGAGCTGATCAAACTCAACGTCTTCGACGACAGGCAGAGTTCGTCGAGGAACAGCTCAGCTGGTCTGTTGCCCTGGCGACATCGACCAGACTGTTTCGTCTTGCCTATACTGTATCAACTGATCAGACAAACGAAGTGAAAATCCGCAAGGAACTCCAACTCCACCAGACCAAGCTAAGTTACCTCTGGGCCTTTTTAAGGACGGTCGTGGCCATCCGGTTAGGGAACTAACTGACTGGGTTGTTTGAAAGCGTTTGACAACTACTGTTTCAACAAAAGAGAACTTCTTGGATTGAATGAACCTTTACTAGACGTGCTTTTTTTAACTGCTTCTTCCGTTATTTCTCCACTCTTGCTTCCCAATTTTTATTTATTTTCGTTCGTTTGTATTATACTTATTTTTTTCGTTACCTATTCAAAATTTCATTTTCATTGTGGCGCAAATACATTTTGGTGTCCCTTTGCACCAACATTTGTTTGAACAAATTTTACTGATTAGCGTGAACAGGGTGTAAAATCAAACATATCTACTTTCTACTAAAGAACGGATTTTACACTGTCAACACTAGAATGAAGATCGGAAGTTTAAGGTCTCCTTACATTAAATATCTCATTAGCCGAGATTGATAAGTACATATAAAAGTTTAAACATAAGATGTTGACTATTGGTTACTCTGAATTTTATTTTATCAGCTTTTGTGATTCGCTATATAATGTGGTAGCCCAAACTTTTCTGTTTGATTTTACGTTACATAAATCATCTGCATACCTGTATCGATGTTTTATTCTAATAAGGTTATTATAAAATGAAGGGCATAATCGAATAGTAAATGCAAGCATTTATTGTCCATTACGTTACGTGTGTGGAGCATATATATCTGGTGCCCCCTTGCACCAATATTTGTGTTCAAATAAAGATAAATAATCTAGGACGTGCTTTTGAGCAGAACTGAAACATAATAAGATGCAAATTCTTCACCAGTTACATCTGAATTAACTTGTGAGACCCAAGTACATACTACCTACATATTTAACAAAAAACTAAATTGATGCACTAACCGGATAGTTTTATCCTCTGATATGGATAAAGCAAGTTTATCTTCGCCACACCATAGCAGTCGACGAATTATTTGTTCGTGTCCCCCGAATACGGATATGGCTAAATGAGGCAGATAAAAAAACATGAGTGGTATTAATGAGATCATAAAAATAATTTATGCAACACCAGACGAACATAATCTCAAACACGAAAGTGAAATAATTTACGTGATTTAGGAGCGTTTAGATCATAGACCGAAATCTTTTTCCAGTTATTAGCAGTGAGTAATTTTGCACCTGAGTCAGTTTTGCTCAAGTCAACGCACCGAACAATATGATCTTGGGTGATTGAAAGGAGCTCCGAACCGGAGTTTGCATCCCATACTTTGGCAGTGAAATCCGCCGCCCCTGTAGCAGCCTTAGTAGCATGCTTGTCTAAGACACACGACCAGACAGCTCCTTTATGACCTAAAAATGTTCCAATCCAATCTCCTGTATCACCTTGGCGCAGAATTGCTTTACCATCTGAAATAAAAGAATAAACGAAATTAAGTGATCTGTGTTCTGAAAAACAAAATTAAATAAAATAGACACTGATGGCATTTAAACACAAAATAAAATCTATCTAGACTAACATTTATTGCACATGACAATTGCGCTATGAAAGTAAGGTCACTTGACAATAACTTTTCCATAACTCGTCCCCTGAAGTAATCGATGGTTTACGGCTAGAATACGACCATTTGAAAGATTATGATGAAATCCCAGTCTTTGATTTGAACTTAAGTGGAGACTGATACCTTTCTGTTTACAATATATCAGATGATGGGACTTCAGATAGCTTAAAATAGATAAGTGGAGCAAAAGTTATTGTGGTCCCCCTTTAATTTGGGAATAGTTCTACAATTGCTAGTTCCCTGTTGTTTTATTTCTTTGCCTTATTGTTTATTGATTGGTCTTTGCTGGGAAAGTGGTTATATGTTGTTTCTATTTGCTGCAAAATAAAGACTAGTAGAAAATGTAAGGCGAATCAGAAACTTAACAAATGAAGAACAAAACGCAAGATCTAAAAAACCTTAGGAACTATAGAAAATGAATGATTTCAACCCGGTTATATAATATGAAGTCAAGGTTAGAAAGGACCTAATGATAACCATAATGAAGTGGTGGTAATAAACCAACTAGCCCGAACAACCAGTGCCTACAGTGTCTCTACTTCCTCACACATGAAAAGGGCTAGAATGGCCAAACTATGACTAGCCCCGAACTCCCCCAAGTCAAACTCTGAGGCCGGTCAAACCAACACCAAGTTATTCAGAAGATGGACTGACAAACAGGCCCAACAACTGAATCTAATGAAGCTGAAATTCGTCTATGAAGGTGCGGTAATTGTGAATCAACGGTTAGAAGATCCTGGGTCCAAGGTATGTAGTCGTGTGAGTAAAGGAGATATGTCCTTGAAAATGAGCCACCTTATGGTCTTGGACTACTATTACAACACTCAGTAAGCGATATTTCTTAGTTTTGAAATATGCTGAAGATGAAATTTCATCTAAACACGTTCAGACTAATTGAGTAGTAAAGAAAAAGAGGTTGAAATATGTAAATAGATTATTACAAGAATCAGAATGGTTTAAGACAAGTTTGTTAAATTGATTTAAAGATACAGCCATTGAAACTGCCTAAAGGTCTTAACCACACACCATTTCACAGGGTTATTGGCAGATGGCTTAGCGGCAAAATTAATCTATGAATGAACCAATGAAATTGGTGTTAGTCTACGATTTTGGCTTAAAACTTATTAATTACTAAGTCTAAACAGCATCTTAGCATCATGACTGATGTCCTTTTGTGACGGAAACTCTAAATCTAACTTCTAACACTAACTTCCAAAGTTACAACCTAATACTAGTACTAATTTATGGCCCACTTTTGAATCTTGTAAGTAGGTGAACTTTCTAAGGGTCCTCAGTCTCCCTACTTTAGGGAAACCGCTATGAAAAACTTTGGGAAGATGGCACAAAAACCCCAAAATTTTCTCCAAGATAATGAGATTGGGTCTCACCACCTTCGGTCAATGGATTCCCCTCTGGAATTGACCAGTGGACTGGACATAATTACGTTCTAATTATCCGATATTTTGGTTAATGGCATTGAATTGTGTACCATTAACATTTATCCCTATCATAAGTCGAGATTGTTTGAGCACAGTCAAATAAGGATTTGCATGATCACCATGCACTCCTGTTTAATATACGTACCTTTTGAAGCAGTGATGAAAAGATGTCCGCAATCTGTCTCTCCGCTATAACAGATATCAACGACCGGACGTGTATGCCCAGGACAGTACACAGGTGACTGCTTTGGAGTCTGGATCATAACACGCCGGACAGTATTATCGACCCGGCTGGTTGGCCTTGAGGAAGCATCGTCTATCGTTTAAAACTACAAACACAACAAATAAGTGTAACATATCAATAAAATCAATTAGACAGAATAATTTCGAATGACTATGAACGGAATAAGAGCTTTAACTAAATGGGATTCTCATGTACATCAACAAGTAGTCGGCGATACCTACAAGGACTCTAAGATTGTAGCGGTAAATTAATCCCAAATATAACTAGTTCTGTAAGCCTTCGAAATTAGTCTTGATTTCAGTAATTTTACTGGACACACTCCTGCCTAAGGCGTCTGATTATTAATCCTCATTAGATTATCATACAGTACGTCATGTCACTCAACCCTGGTAACAACTAGCCAGCTTGGACCAAATACCTCTTAACATACTGACTACCTTCTAAGTATATATCCAAACTCCTGCATTCATAACTTCTGGTTTAACTAGGTTTTGGATCCTTTGACCATACACGTGCTACAGATAACAGCATTGTCAAGCCCTGAATATCCTTGACGTCTCTAAGGTAAATTTAAGCTATCACAACCGGATGCTGTAATAAACCCGTTCCAGTTTTAGCATGATAGGTGGAATAAATTTAATGTGATCATGTTTCAGATCAATAGATTCTATTCGTTGGACACTGTGAAAGTAGTTAACCTAAACTTAGTATGTAATTAATTCTCTATGATTTTTTACAAATCCTTATTCGTTGAGAAGTCCTCTGTAAAGTAGTTTATACCTTCACACACATACAAAACTATGTTGCTGGGAGAAGATAAAGACCTTTTCAAAATAAATACATTTTAATTCATTCAATCACTTTACATGGGAAACAGACACTCAACTAGCTCAATGTATTTCTATTTGCATATGCTTGTGAGTTGTCCCACCTAGGTTAAAGTCCTGTAGGGTCAGTGAAATGTCACTGAGCCCTGGCCAAAGCATCAAGCAGTTGGGTCACTGAATATCGGACGGATCATCGATCCCTGTCAAGGTAAAGGACAACCAACGTGCATCAGTTAATCGTACGCCATGAACTGGCCCATGCGGTGGTGGTCACACTTTCTCTTGTGCTTATTCTCACTGATATATTTCTGTAACAACGTCCTTCGTGTTGTACAGTCCTCAAAGCATCCATAGTACCTTGATAAGACGAAAGGTTGATCCATGTTAAGTGCTGACTGAGAGGTGTGACTACGACGTTAGCTGTTGGTCACATTACTCCCGTCTAGTTGACTATCGTGGCTATTTAGCGAGCATTGGCAGCTTGTAGATGCTTTTGTGTAATATGTCTGTTAAAATATCAACCACTCATAAGTATGGCCACAAGGAAACATGAACGCACATCTGTTTGTAACTTATCCAATTGTTTAAGCGAGACAAGATTCACTGTCGATTGTAAATTCATGTTTCTGTTTAACCACTATCAACTATTTACTAGAAGTTTTTAATTACGTGACCACTGCCTGCCTAATTTCCAGTTGCTGAGTTCCACGATCAGACAGAGGATACGAATGCTAGAAACTTACGATGAGTTTAAAATATAAATTTCCAGCAATCTTTAGTCTCGTTTAGACTGTTCGTCGGGCAGTGCCACGTATTTGGCTTAAATTAATTCTGGACTTATACAAATTCAGTCTACAACGCTGTGTTAATCTACAGTACCTCGTATATAATCCAGATTTGAACTACTGTCTTCTTCAAATTTCCAGCACTTGGAAGCGAGAGTAACCCAGGCGAGTTTCATAATTGCATTGGATACTTTCGTGCTGTGTTTATGATGCCTAATAACGTTTCGTAGTTGCTTTCACATAGAGTAGTCATATATTCTGTCACTGCCATCGATTTCTAGTCGAAACCATGTAAATTTATGACTCGTAATCCGACATATTGTGGAAAAACTCATTGCATGTACACGAGCAATCTTAGGCCATGTGCTAACTAGACACTTCATCGTACGTAATATGTTACTTGACGCTAGATAAAAATCTCACTGCATCAACCTTTTACGAAATGGTCACTTTATCTGAACCTTCTAAACTTTAGTTACATTGGTGATTACCATTTTAATAAATGTTTACTATACGCTCTGCATTTTCTGTTATCTGACACGGTGAATCATGACTGGACTTCCTTATTACACGGAAGTCATTTTAATTCCATTTTCGGCTTATCTAGATGCAATACAAGTTCAGAAAATACCTAAACCACCTCTAAAATTCTCCACGAACGCCATCACAGTCTACGTATATGTTTTTATTCACACATCCGACTGTTACAATAATAATACCTAAACAAATGTTTAGTGCAACTGTCAATATACGCAAGAACGATTTTTTTTCGATGTGACGTTATAACACATCCGAACTATTGTAGCTATTTAATTTCGGCATCGTTCATTATTTTAGTAGGTATTGTTTCCTCACACCTGTTATCTAAATGATGATGTCGGCACGACAATCAACTGTTCAATTACTCGATGATTTAAAGGCTGTCCAGTTCAGTAGGTCGTCTGACAACAATGTTATTCGCGCAAATCATCAGTTTACGCAGTCGAGAAAATCTCCTGCAAATTGAAAACGACATTTTCGCCCCTAGCCCGACACTGACAGTGTTTTTCATTGATATCATTGACATGAGTCCAGAGTGACACTCTTGGTTCCTTATGTTTTTTTCGATACTTTTCGGTTCACTTATCGAACAAACATAATCGTTTAAACACTTCATCAGTCCACCTTCGCTCTCCATCTGTAGTCTTCGACCCTTAAATAGAGTTCGACACTTCCGAAGGGAAGCTTCCAACGACACTCTTACGTCACACTTTAAACCAATAATGGTACAAACATCGACATTGATTGATAATACACTTATCATGCTATCGTTGTAGCATCATTACTCTTGCGGCAAGCTTAACGTTTCTCATCTGAGGACTTCAATCACTCGTCAAAACTGTATATTTCAACGCACTTTGGTAGAACTTCAAAATGTTCTATTTTTCTTAAATTATTTTTATGGTTAATCGCTTTACAATTACTATTCGCTGTTTCACTGGCTCTTCAGTCGTATTGGTTGGATGCGTCCTGTATATTATTCTCTTTGAATATAATCTGAATAAGGGTTAGCAGGATCGAGTTTGGAAAAGCCAACTTCGATGTATAATTACCATTACTATTTGTGTACTCACACATGATTTTATAGGGTCCTGAGCAGGTATCGTTTTTAGCGAATTGTCTAATTGCTTGTAATAGGACTACTCGGTAGGAATTAAAACCAATTCAGCGTTCTAAACACGATTTAATGGAGTATTTTGCATAATAAATTAGCATCAATATCATTGGTTAATGACATTCCACTAGACCATAAGGAGCCGTAATTAAACAAAATGTTCTGCCCCACGGACATGGGTGGATTGAAATTATCTCCTCATTATCATGTTTGCTGACCAGTAACGTCACCCCCCTCCTTTTGTGATGTTAGACCCCCTTACGTTTGTGGTATGAATTTTGCTTTAATCAAAGCCCATAGTTGGGATACACTGTCTCTGCTAGTTCCATGTTACAGGCGAATCAGGTGATTAAAGAAATTGTATTATGGGTTAGACATCCATTTAGTATATCACACTGCTATGACGATAAATAATGGTAAAAGTTAAAAAACAGGTTAGATTATATGTGGTTTAAAGATGGTGAGGACTAATAGCAAACCAAAGGAAATGAAAGAGTATAAATTTGTAGGACTTTCAGGGTAAGAAAAATAAAACACTGAGCAACTCACAAGAACTTAGGACATTTCAGGCTCCGTATGATCGAACTTCTTATTATTTTTTTAATATATAATATACTTGACATGACGGATAGCGACTACAGTAGTATTAATATAATAGACTCCCATGTACGTGTACCGAATCCTTGGCACTTTTTATTCGCGTGACAGTAAATCCCACGCTTTATTCGAGAAAATTTCCCCTATTAACTATTCTCCTCGCTGACCCGGCTGCTTGGTACGGAACGCATACGCATCACCGTCTTCCACCCAGCATCGAATGGTTAAGTTGAACGGTTCCATTGCCAACTTAAGAGTGCTCTGCGAGCACACGAAAACGACAATTGGTGCGAAACCTTACCGCTTGCCCTCTTAGACATCAGAACGAGCTTGAAGGCAGACCTCCAATTTTCTGCCCCTGAACTTGTATACGGCACGACATTGCGTCTGCCCGGGGAATTTTTCACACCACGGAGCAGTAACGATTTCGGTAAATCAGACTACGTCCATCGACTGTCTGCATTTATGCGAACGCTGTCTCCGGTGTCAACTCGAATACAACATAGACAGGTCGCTCTCCCTCGAGAGTTATCTACCTGTTCACATGTTTTCATACGAGTAGATTCGGTACGCAAACCTTTGAAACAGCCTTACGAAGGCCTTTTCACGTGATCGCTCGTCACGAAAAGACATGGCCGCATCGAGATCGTTAGTATTGATTGTCCCAAACCAGCACACGTCGATGACAGTGCCCTATCTGATAACTTGGGATTCAATTCCAGACCTATCAAATTTACTAGCGGGATCCTTAGATCTTCTTCAGATCCCACGCTAGATACATCTGAGACCTCATTCTCACGTCCCGGTCAACAGCACGTGTCATCTGCACCATCTACGGAAGAGACGACAGTCTCACGTCCAGATCAGCAGACCACTCCGCCCTTTGACTTCGAATGAGATTGCAGGCTCACGCGATACGAACGAAACTACCGTCTCACGTTCCGGTCGCCGAGTACGGTTTCCCGTACGCTTCCGCGACCAGCCACACAGTTAACAAGCGATACGGTGTAGGACTATTCCTATACTACATGCATGCTACACTTCCCTTTTTTCGATTTCGTTTCTGTACCCTGAGCCCACGCCTCCGACCATCCCCGTTTGGTATCGTCGACTTCAGTCAACTTTGGCGAAAGCTGGCCTGATCACCCACGCTCTTGTCAACGCATCCAGTCGATATTTTGGTTTCTAATACTTGGCATGCGCTTGGTCTCGAACTTGGTCG